AAAAAAAAAAAAAAAAAAAGTCAAGCCAACATTAATTACTGGCACTTGTACAGCCTTTATTCAATTCAAAGGACAACACTAAGCACTTTACATGAGTTGTCTCATTCAAACCTCTCAATAACCCAGCGAAGTGGACAATGCTTTCACCGCCACCAGGTCTGGATGACACTAACCCCCTTGTTCTTTAAGAAGCCAACAGCGTGGTATAGTGCTGCACCTGTTCTAACCCTGGTGCAGCCTGGAATGGCAAACAGATCCACCTGATGTTGTCCCAAGACCCTGCGGTGCACTGAAGCATGTGCTGTTTACAGTATGTCCCTTAGATGGGCCACATCATGCAGCTCAAGAAGCTGCGTTGCTTACAGATAGGCCAGTAATGGGAAAGCACCAAAAAGGAGGCCAGAGCACTGAACCTCTGGCATTTACCCAAGCTGAGGATCCAAAAAACATGCTCTAGGCTATAATCCCAGTACTTAGGAGGCTGCGGCAGAAGGATCACCACAAGTTCGAAGGCAGCCTGGGCTACACAGTGAGACTCCATTTCAATAACAAAGAGAGACATCCTAGAAAGTAATCTGATGAAACTCACAGAATTTTAGAGCTGGAAGGATCTTAAAGGTCTATGACACCAAATATCCTTGGGGTTGTTTTTTTTTTCCTGAAGTGAAAACCAAAACTCTTGAGAGCTGGTGACCTGGCCAGTGTCTGAGGAGTACAGCAAGGTATAAACTCACCTCTGGCTCATGTCCCAGACTCCCGCTGCTCTCCTAGGCACTGTCTGGTCCACTGTGACCCCAAAACTCCATCTCAGGCACGAGCTCCACCTCCTACCCATGCCTCCACACACAGCAGGGCACAGGCCTGGCCTTCTGTGGTTTCTCCTGATGTCTCACCGTGCTCCTTCCCAGAAATGCCCCCTGCAACCCCTGGCCGCCCCTTGGGAGGCCTGGGCAGGCCAGCAGTTCACAAGTTTTCTGTTTGGTCTTTGCTGGCTTGTCACACAACTGTCCATGTTCACTTTAGCAGGGAACACATAAGTAGGGCTAAACCAGGAAACAATGCCATCATGACATCTTCTGGACTCTAGGCTCCTTGGGGGAAGGAAGCAGAGTACAGCAGGAAATGCCCAGCCAAGCCCTGCCAACAGGGACCGGGCAACTCTTTCTGAGCCTCTGGTCCCTTTCCCTGTGAAAAGAAACAATACCATCACCTCCAAAGGTGGCTGGAAGCATTAAATTGGATAACATTTAAAAGAACAAAGCCTGAGACAGCACAGTGGTACCTGTAATTCCAGCACTCAGAAGGCTGAGGCAGAAGGATCACTACAAGCTCCAGGCCAAGCTGGGCTACGTAGCGAGGCCTTGTCTCAAAAACACAAAAAAGAACAAATCCTGGAGCAGTGTGCCTCCCACAACACCCCAGGTGTATGATGGGGGAGCCTTCTTAGGACTCATTAAAACAAAGACTTCAGCTCCTCTGTCACACTGGTCACGTGGGGCTGCTGCGCTGGACGGCAGACATACAGCCCACTGTCGTCATCACAGGAAGTTGTACTGCACAGGGCTCACCCAGGCTCCTCTTCCTTCCCTATGGAAGCCCCTCTGCACAAAAGGAAGCCTTGCAGATCCTCCTGATAATCTCTCTACTGCATACCATCTGCGGCTGCCTTGAAGCCCTCACAGTTTACCTGGACACGGATGCCTCCTATGTGTGGTCCCCCTGTCTCAGAGTGATGTTGCTGACAGCCCAGCAGGAACCTGGCCGACCCCTGCCCATCAGCCCCCTTCATCCTGCCCCACAGTGTGACGTGTGCACTTCTTTACTGACGATTTTTTTTTTGGTACTGGGGATAAAACTCGGGACCTTGCGCTTTCGAGACAGGCAGTGGAACCACTGAGCTAAATCCCCCGGCATCCACTTCCTGTGTGGACAGCAGACACATTGAAACCCTCATGAGGAGGCTGTGGTCACCACCGCCACCACCCTGGTCCAGGGGTGACTTTACTAAGACCAGGGAGACCACTCAGACACACACAGGCCACTTCATCCTCAGACCCTTCACCTCCCACTCCCATGTGCCAACGTGTGCTCAGCCTCGGAGGCGCCTGTGCCTAGGTCATGGCGTAGCTCTCAGACCCCCTTCCCCGCCACACCTGACTCCAATGCTGTGCTCTGCACAATTCCCATTCTCTCCCATTCCAGCTACTGGGACACCATCCTCACGCTCCCCACCAAGCGCAGGCTACCTTCCTTCCAGAATCATCACCTACTCCAGAAAGGGCACTGCTTTTCCCCTTTCCCCTTCCTCTCACACCAGAGGCCCTACCCACCCAGTAAAGGGAGCCAACACGACCACAGCACCCACCCCTCAGGATGGGGCCCGGCCCAGGCACATCTCAGGTGTCCCAAATCTGCCTTCATTAACCCCCACCCAAGCTGCTCTCAAGCCACCCCACCTGACCTGCATGGGAAAAGGACCTGCCTGGATCGCCACCCCCCAACCCAGCCCTGCAACAGGGACTGCGTCCGCCCAGGACAGCGAGGCAAGAGCATAGAGGCCAGGGCGTGCGCCCACTCCTCACCTGACACTGGTCTACACAACAATCAGGCAAGTCTGTCTTCTTTTGCCACCCAAGGAAGCTAGCTGCTCCCTCTAGGCTGCCCATTGTGTAACAGGCAGGAACCGCTCCAGGCAAGATAGTCAGTAACAGGAAAGGCCCACAGAAAAGATGATCTTAGTCCCTGAGATCGCAGACTCGAAAGGCCTTTTTTTATGAGAATCCGAGGGGCACCGTTTGGCAACAAGCCTACTGGTGGGGAGGTGTCAACCGCTTGCGATCACCTATCTGCTATGTAAATCGCCTCAAATCAGCCTCCTGGGGAGAGGGCAGCGCTTTAGCCTGCATCTCTCCATCAGCAAAGTCACTATAATAAAGTCCTTTTCCAACCACCACCCTGCCTCAGTCCCGTGTAAGGCTGACAGAGCCCATTAGGAATTCAAATCAAAGCTGGCAGGGATAAACACACACACACCACACACGACCCAGACCAATACTAGTTCTACAATACAAAGCAAGGAGACCATGTAAAGTACCCTGATTCGCCCAACTCCCTGTGCCGTGCCCCTCCACTCTTGTGAGTCCCAAGGCGACATTAAGTTATAAACACTGCCTGCTCTAGGCTCTGCAACAACGAAAAACACACACGGGGGGGCCCAGAGCACACCCCTTGTTCGGTATAAAGTGGTCCTTAAGCACTTTCGAGGCTGAGCCAAGAGGATGGCTGGGAGTTAAAGGCCAGCCTGGGCTACATAGTGAGAACTTGTCTCCAAAAATTAATAATTAGTTAACTAATTAAAGTGCTCCTCAAGTAACTGGTTATGTGTTTCTACTTCTTACATCATTTTTACAAACCTCGGGAATACTTTCTTGGATGCTCCCCGGACCTCAGGTTTCACAGAGGAAGAGAGGGGAGACACAGGGGACAGAAGCCTTCGGGCAGGTGGCAGAAACCAGCGGAGGGAGGAACCTCGAGGGTGGTGGGAGGAGATCCCGGGGATCTCCAGGGGCTAAAGGAGAGGTGGCAGGGAACCCTCCACCCAGGTGAAGTGGCGGAGCCCACAGGGCAGGCAGAGGCGGCCCCAAGGAGGCCTGAGGGCTCTTGAGAGGCTGAGGGTTCCTGAAACAGAAGATGGGGGCTCTGCCCTGGAGCCGCCGAGGTCCTCAGGGAGCCTTGGGAGTCAAGGGAGGGATCGAGGGATCTTGGGGTCTCTGGGGTCCCAGGGTCCGGAAGGCCGTCGGGGGCGAAGGGTGCCGGGGACCCAGAGGTCTTGGGGGGGGGGGGGGGGGGGTGGGGGGTCTAGGGTGCCCGAAAATGCTGGGAAAGAGCTAGAGACCGAGGAGCGGTCCCGGGCTCTGGCAGCCGCCCCGCCCCGCCCCCTCACCTGCCTCCAGCTCGCACGCGGACGACAGCGTATCCGCTCTCTTCGCCGCGAGCCCTCAGGCCGGGCCGGGCTGCAGAAAGGGTCTCCGTGCGCGGGGGCCGGCGCAGTACGAAGACGCTGCACGCCGCGCCTGCGACTGCCGGCAAAACCTTCCCCGGCGCGCGCCTTTACCACGCAAAGGTTCCGCCCCAAACCAACGGTCGCGCGGCGGCCCGACGTCCCGCCCCGAGGAAGGGAGGGGTCAGGACGCCTGCCACGCCCCTCCGTCATCCCCCCCCACCCCCGCTTGGAGTCTCGGCGCAGGCGCAGTCGAGTTTGCGGGAAGCGCGGGCTCCGGAGCCTGAGTCCCTTTCCCCGCTAATCCAGTATGTTGAAGGTCTTTGCTTTCCCTGAAATCCAATCCGGTCAGAAGCCACTTCCTTGTCCCAAGCTTCCCCAACTCTCCTCCCCACCCTGCCTAAAACACAGTTAATTATTACTTCCTCTCTCCTTAGCACCTTTTTATGTTTGATTTTAAAGTTGGCTGTTAAAGGCTGCAGTCCCAGCACTCAGAGGCCGAGACAGGAGGATCCTTGCAAGTTCAACGCCAGCCTCAGCCTAAACTACATAGTGAGACCCTGTCTCAAAAAAAACCAGAGTCCCAACACTGGAATGAAAAAGGCCTGTGGTAGGGCTCCTGCCTGAGCCCTCAGGCAGCCCTCAATAGCCCAACCAGGAAGACTCCATCACTATCATTCCAGTTTAACAGAAGGGGAAACTGAGGCCCCTGGAGGTCACCCCGGTTATCTCAGTGCTGCATTTGACCACCTGCACACCAGGCTCCCCAGCCACTGGATGTGGATGTACAATTTCAATGTGACGAAATTTTGGGGCTGGCCATGTAGCTCAGTAGAAAGGTTGCCTGGCATAGGTGAGGCCTTCAATTCGCTCCCCAGCAAATAAGGCAAAGTACAGAGTTTAACACCCTCCAAAATGCTCCATAAATGTGATGAAACTCAGTTTCTGAGCACCTGCTTCTGTGCTTGACAAATGGGACCCAGGGGCTTAAGTGAGTGTGCAGAGGGGTTCCCTTTGGGCATCCCCCAGGTTGAAGAGGGGGCAGGTTATCATATCCCTGCAGCCCAGCCACGTGGAGGACAGGCCAGAAGTCTCAGCCCCTCTGCCCATAACACCAGACGGGTGAGGCTTTTGTAAGAACCAGGCTGGCCCCAGAATTGCATCGCATTTCAACTATACTTCCTGTAGGTGGACCAAGCTGGCAGATGGGTGTCTTAGTATTATAGCAAAGTGCAACAGCTCAGCGTTATAGCCAAGTGTTACAGCCCAGTGTTACAGCTATTCGAAGGTCTCCAGAGAAGAAGAAACCAAGGCCGGCACTCGGAGAGATGGAGGAATATGTATTACGCCAGCAGGCTCAGAGGAGTCCGTACTCCAAAGTCTGAGCCTCAAGCTGAGATGGAAGCAGCCTTATATAGAGGGCTGGGCCTATGTGTGGGGCGAGCATGCTCATAGAAGTGGAAGGGTGGAGTTAACAGAACATTCTTCAAACATCTGGTAGAAACAACCTCTGACTCCAACAGTTACATTGCTTTAACAGAACATCTTACGGCAAAACATGGGGCAGGGGCATGGGAACAGTCCAAAGCCTACCCTGCTGTGCATTATTTCCTTATTATTTGGCACAATGCCCCCCATATCCACATTGCTGAGGGGCACTGCCCATTGGCCATTGTGTCCCTTCCACATAGATAAGGGGAGAGACATGGCCAGGGCCCAGTGTGGTGCCTGCCTGTGACAGGTCACTGGCACTACACACGTCTGTGTCTGGCCAGCAGGAGCAGGTCTCGTTCAAGTGTGTGGAACAAACGAGTGAACGTGTGTGTGAAACGAGTCTCAGCTCCAGATTCTGCAGAGCAGACCTGATTTGCTTCTGTACTGACAGTGCTCTGTGGGAAGCAGCAGGGCTGCCCAGTGAGACGCGAGTGCGTGCGTGTACGTGTATCACTGTCCCCTGAGCACCTGCTCTGTCTGCTGCACTCTGCTAAACTCTTCTTAAGCACAGCTCCTGGAGCACTCAGCCGTGCACACGCTGAAAAGCAGATTCAGAAGATGGAAGGTAACTGGTCCCCCCTGAAGGGGGCACCTCCTCGGAATTGCTGCTCCGGGCTCTCTGGCCAAAGAGGGGGCAGAAAAGATAAAGGGATCCACATACCAGTCCTTCCCTCCTGGGCCCAAAGCTGTTGCTGTGTTGCATGAAGGGACTCGTATCCCTGAGCCCTGATGCCCTGCACGGTGTACAGCTGGACAGACACTGATCCTGTGCCCTCGGACCAAACGCTATGCAGACAGTGCACTTACGGCACGCTAAACCTCACGCCGTGTGTGTCGCAGATGTGCTGTGCACACCACTGGAAAGAAGCGAGCTACGTATTTGGGATCACCCCATCCCCCAGCCGCAGCCGCAGAGCTCCCAGCCCCTGGCTGCTCCAAGGCTAGCAGGAAGGACAGCAGCAGGTGGGTATAGCTTTGCTCCTGTGAGGGAGGAGCACGCTGGCCCCTCCGAAAGGCTCTCTGGACCTCACCATGGGCTCTGCCCACCTCACCCAGACCCCAGCTGTGCCCCGCTCAGCTCCTACTGAGGTTCCCTCACCTGTCCACATCTCGTCTCCAGCAGCTGTGACATGGGGACAAGAGAACCACTGAACAAATATGCGTTACAACCACCCTCCTAGGTGCTGAGGTCACAGTGGGAAAAGCAGTGTGGTCACCTTGTTAGAGAAACAGACAATAAATCCCAGTATTAGGGCTGACAAGCTATGGAGAAAAGCAGTTGTATGGGGTGGGACATACACTGGGGGAGACTTGTAAAAGATACAGGACAAAGGGTCTAGTCTAGAATATGTAAGGAACTCTGGAGCACAATAATAAAGGTAAACAACCCAACTTTAAAAGCTAATCAAAGCATGCCTACAGTCCCACCACTCAGGAGGCTGAGGCAGGAGGATCTCTGGGAATTTGAGGCCAACCTGGCTACATAGTGAGTTCGAGGACAACCTGACTACAGCAAAACTCTGTCTCAAAATTACCAATAAATAAATGGCTGATCAAAATATATCTGTAAAAGAAAATTAAAAGAATAGGGCTGAAGATGTAGCTCAAAGCTACAGTACTTGCCTACTATGTGCATAGGCCCTAGGTTCCATCCCCAGCACCAAAAACACAAAAATGAACAAAAACCCAAAAGAACTACAGCAGAAAAACAAAAAACTTCTAAACATGAGCAAAAGATTTAAGGAATGCTTCTTCCAAGAAGTTATACAAATGGCAAATGAGCACCTGAAACAGTGCTCAACATTATTATTCATTAGGGAAATACAAATCAGGGCCACACGGAGAGACCACTACACACCATTAGAGTGGGCAAAATTCAAAAAACTCACCACACCAAGTGTTGGCGAGGACGTGGAAGAGTGGTTTTTACCCACCGCTGGTGGGAATGTGTGATAGCCAACCCAACTCCGTCTTGAGCCTCAACATCAGCTTGTACCTGTGCTTAGACAAAGTGCTTGTGCTTGGACAAAGCACCCAAAATGCCCGTATCCTGTTTGGCAATAAACTTGCTGCAGTTGCAGGATGTTTTTGTAGTTCACCTAGTGTGTGAAACTTCCTTGTGTCCTCCACTAACCTGGCATGGTTCTGCTTCTGTAAGATTCAGCTTGCTCTCCCCTGAGCCCTCCCCAACTGAAAGCATGATTTCAAAGGAGAAATCAAACTACCCCCTGTTGCCGAGAGAACTCTCCAGGCATTATCCCCCCTTGGCCGCCAGCTTTAATTAATAAATGGACTCAAATCTGGCTCGGAGTGTGGCACATTCTCCATTGTTCTGATGGCTCGTTGTTTCTTTACTGTAACAAATCCCTGAGATAATCAACTTCTGAAGATAGTTTATTGTGGCTCAGGAGGTTGTTGTTGTTGTTTTCTCTTTGGTTGTTGAGACAGGGTCTCCCTGTGTAGTTCAGGCTCACCTGGAACTCACTATGTACCCCAAGCAATCCTCCTGCCTCAGCCTTCCCAGTGCTGGGATTGCAGGCATACACCACCACACCTGGGGGCTCAAGAGTGTTAACAGTTATGTTACTGTGCACAGCTCACCTCCTGACCAAAGCCAATTAGTGAAGTGGCACAGTTGTGGTGGAGAAGAATTTCAGTAGGCTGCTCTAGACTCCCAGAAGATGGCAGCCCAAGGGCCATCTTGGACACTGGGTTCCATAGGACACTGGTAGCCCCAGACTCAGGAGGGCTCCCAGTGGAGGTTCGAGGCCAACTTTGATGCATGAGATGACCTTCAGTTCTCTAGACCTCAAGGGCAAAGGTTGCCCTGCCCTCAGCTGGGCTGTCCTTGGTTAGCTCCCCTGTGCAATTCCTGCAATTCCTGAGGTATCCCCAGGCTCAGGGTGGAGCAGTTGCAGCCAGGCCCCTGACCACCAAACTCACAGAACTGAAAGAAAACCTGCTTGGCCTGATTCCTGGGGAAGTCTGACGGGGAGGGAGCGAAGATGTGGTCTCAGCCCTCAACCTCAGAGCCAGTGGGTGACCAGGCAGCCAACTCCTTTCAGGTTCTGGTGAAGGCCCAGAGGGTCATGGGGGAGCCTGTGATGACCAAAACCCGTTAGCTCAGGGCGAAGAAGTGAAAGGGGAAAGGGGAAAGAGAGGGGTTCCTGGCCAGCTCGTCTGATGCAGTGCAGATGTGTCCTTCAGACTTCCTAAATTTCACCACCTAGAGTTCCCACCGCCCCCAGTCACACCAAACTAGCTGGGTATGGTAGCCTGTAATCCCAGCACCTGGGAGGCTGAGGCAGGAGGATCACTGCGAGTTCAAGGCCAGCCTGAATTACATAGTGAGACCCTGTCTCAAAATACAAAAAACAAAAATCAATGACACCAAGCTGGGGGCCGAGCCATGGGGCTTGGGAGACACTCTGGATACAAAGTGTAGCTCCCGGACTTTGCTGGTAGGAACGTGAACTGGAGCAGCTTTCTGGAAAACATTCTGGCATTTCTTCTCAGACACTTGCTTAGCCTACAACCAAGCAAGGCCACCCTTGGGTTTTTATCCTGGGGAAACGAAAGTTACATTCACTTAAACACCTGTTTGCAAACGCTCCTGGCAGCTGGATCATAATCAATCAGCTGAAAGCCAGAAGCCCTGAGGTCCTTCCGTGGGTGAACAGCCATGACATATCGATACAGAGGGTACGGGACCCAGCAATAAAAGGAGACCATTATGGGCACGGGCGTTGACTGGGATAGGCCTCAAGGATATAAAGCTGCATGAAAAGTAACAATCTTGAAAGTTGCACACTTCAGGATTCCATTTATAGAATGATTTTAAAATAACACATTCAGAGGAATGAAGCGCAGATCTGTTTTAGGTTTGGGGAGTTGGGGGATGTGTGGGTTGGCTGTAAAGGGGACTTTGTGTGGATGGGACAACTCTTTCTTTATTTTGATTTTTTGAGACAGGGTCTCACTATGTAGTCCACACTGGCCTTGAACTCACTATGTAGCCCAGGCTGACCTCGAACTTGCAGCGATCCTCCTGCCTCAGCCTCCTGAGTGCTGGGATGACAGGTGTGTGCCACCACACTGAGCTGTATTTATTATTAGGAATGTCAGAGAAGCCCAAATCCAGCCCGGAACCTGCACACCAAGCTTGACAGCACCCATCCTCTGGCCACTGCGTGGGTCGCTCTGCTCAGAGGAACTCGGTGGAGGGGTTGGGTGCAAGCTGTCTGAGCAGCTCTGTCTGACCCAGCATCCACACTCTCTTCCTGGGGTAGGCCACAGCCTCCAAGGGTAATCAGACCGGGGGTGCTGAGCAGTGTGTGGGTCAGGGACACCGAGAGCAGCACCGTGGCTGCTGCAGTGGCAGGGAGGCTGCTGGCGGCCACCGAGGATGTTGGAGGTCAGGCTCGGCTTTCCAGGGAGTTTTCTCCCTGCTCCTTGGTCTCCCGCCAGGCCTGGGCTCCCCCACCCTCTCCCTCGCCTCTGCTGTATCCCCAGCCCTGCTCCTGAGTGATCTCTGCTGGTTCGAGCCACCTGTTGGAGCTGGGCGTGATGGTGCACATCTGTAATCTTAGCACTGGGGAGGCTGAGGCAGGAGGATCACTGAGAGTCTGAGGCCAGCCTGGGCTACATAGCAAGACTCTATCTCAAAAGGCCAAAATAATAAAAATCAAAGAGTCCTTGTTGGAGTCAGCAACAGAGAAATGAACAAGGATGCCACCTCCCTTCATCCTTCACCCCTCGGGAGTGACCCTGAAACATGAGAGGCTGGATGACACCATCTGAGAAGCAAGACACCATCCTGCCCCTAAGGACCTGTCCCAGGGCACCAGGCCACCAGCACAGGCCTGGCTGGCAGCCCTAAGAGCTCAGTGGCCTAGAACCTCCAGGTCTATTTCCTGCTGAGCAGCCCCATGAGGGGCAATGCCCCCTGGTGGCAGGATGCAGGCAGTAGTGGAACCATCCAGGGCTCCCAAGGAGCCCAAATTCTTTTTCTTTTTCTTTTTTTGACTCTTGCTATGCAGTACAGGCTGGCCTTGAACTCACTATGTACCCCGGGCTGACCTGAAACACGCAGTGTTCCACCTGCCTCAGCCTCCGGAGTGCTGGGATTACAAGTGTGCACCACCGTGCGCAGTTTGTTCCCCCAAATTCTTGATGGCCCCCAACCCAAACTGCTCGCCTCATTTTGGGTCAAGGGCACCACCACGCATGCAGTGGCCCTGGCCAGCTGTCCTCTTCCTTCTCCCGTGGCTGGACATCATTCTTTAGCTTCCCATAAAGCGACCCTCCTAGCTGCTGTCCCCACCCCTGCTGCGCCTCCCCCACCTCTGGCCTGGACCACTGCAGAGCCCTGAGTCAATTCAGCAGTGCCCCCAGCCCAGCTCGCCTTTCCCACAGTGGCCAGGCAGACCCTACCACGGTCCCTTCCAGCACACTGGGCTGTCCGCAGGCTGCACGTTCTACTCAGAACCAAAGCCAGCCTCCCACCGTGGCCCCAAGGCTCCACCATGCCTGACCTTGTCTCCCTAGCTGTCTTCCCAGCACCAGGCTGCACCCTCTCATTGGCCTTGAATGTGACAAAGGTCAGCCGTTGCCCATGTGTCATCTCTCCATGAAGCACGAGCCCTAGCAAGAGGACAGTAAATGCTTCTGGGAATGGTCACTGCTGGACCCTCCCTCCCCAGGCAGTGCAAGGGGGGGGCCCACAGGAAGGGACCAACCTTCACCTGCTCTCCAGGGCCCCAGGCCTGCCATGGGCCACCACGAGCCAAGGCCAGGAAGCTAGGATGAAGGAGACACAGAGACAAAGATCCTCTTCCACTCCAGATTCACTGTGGGTGGGTTCCCTTCATGGCCCCCGATTTACAAACAGGGAAACGGCTGGGCGTGGTGGCGCATGCCTGTAATCCCAGCACTTGGGAGGTTGAGGCAGGAGGATCACTGTGAGTTCAAGGTCTGCCTGGATTACATAGTGTGTTTGAGGTCAGTTTGAACTATATAGCGAGACCCTGTCTCAAAAGCCAGTGGTGCCGAGGCTGCCTCACAAGCACAAGGTCCTGAGTTCCATCCCCGGTACCAAAAAAAAAAGAAAAGCCAAACAAAAAATCAAATACACATAGGGAAACTGAGGGATCCAGAGGCAAATGTCCTCACCTAAGGCCCATGGTGAATGTGTTGGTCAAACTTGTGCAATCCAACCTCTGCTTTCCTCTCCAGACCAGCAGCCTCTCTCTTACTGGGCACAAAGGAGGGGGACCAGACTCCCTGGGGTGGCCAAGGCACATCACCAGGGTGAGGGATGGAGGGGCTGTAACTCTCGGCCTGGGACAGGTTTGCTCATCTGTGCCAAGCAATTTGGTTACTTTACACCCCCCACCCTGGCATTGAATCAGCCCCTTTTTATTCTTTAATTTTGAGATATAGTCTTACTAAGGCACTAAGGTGCCCGGGCTGTGCTGGACTTGTGGTCCTCCTGACTCAGCCTCCTGAGCGCTGGGATTACAGGCCTGCACCACTGCACTGTCCAATTCCTTCTATGTAAAATGTCCAGAACAGACCAGTGCGGATGGGATAGGTGATTGCCAGGGCTTGGGGAGCCAGAGAGGGGCGTGGCTGCTTAGTAGGCCAGGAGTTTCCTTTGGGGAGTGTCTGGGAACCGGAAGTTGTGAGTGGATTAATCTTGGCTACATTGTGTGCTCTGAAAAGGTTAATTTGGAGCTGAGGGTATGGCATGTATTGAGGATGCAGGAGGCCCTGGGTTCGATCCCCAGCACTGTTTTATTATTTTTGAAATAAGAAAGGTTAATTTATGTTGTGTGAACTTCACCTCAATTAGGTAGTAAAATAAATGCAGGCCTGTGATCAGACAGAATGGGATGCAACAGAGCGGGAACTGTAACAGCGGTGTCTTGTAGGGTGTAGCTGGGGGTCCTGCGGGGCCGTGCAGGAAGTCTCTGGGGAAGAGGCAGCTCCAGGAAAGGGTACAGGGACAGGGAAGTGGAGACTCCACCCTCAGGGGACAGAAGGTTGGGTTGGGGGATGGGACCTCTTGGAACCACACCCATGGCTCCCCCTCTTGCCTCTGGCCAGCCAGGTCCCTGCTTGCCCTCCGGCCTCCCTCTCCCTCTGAGAGACTGGCTGTGGTTGTGGGTCTGCACCTCCAGTACCATGGATGTGGGTGACGCATGATCAGCAGCTGACGTCTCTTATGCTCCTGGGGCTGCCGGCACCAGGGGAGAACGCAGGCGTGGACCTGGGGAGGGTGGGAGCTCCGGCCTCCTAAGGGAGCACCCGGCCCTGAGACTCCACCCAGGAGGCCTGTGTGCCCCCACCTACTGTTAGGCTTTCAACACCTGAACCTGGGGTGCTGCAGGGGTTCACAAGGCATCCCTTGAGGAAGGCTTGCTCACTGCAGCCAAGGCTCAGGGGCCAGGGGCAAGTAACTTCCACTTTCTTTCTTTCTGAGACAGGTTCTCACAATGTAGTTCAGGGTGGACTTAAACTCACTATGTAGGCCAGGCTGGCCTCAAACTCGCTCCAGTCCTCCCGGCTCAGCCTCCCGAGTGCTGGGACTACAGGTGTGTGCCACCACACCTGGCCCATGTTGCTTCTTGTTTATTTGCTCTGGTTTTGGTTCTGAGACAAGGTCTTGCTACGTAGCCCAGGCTGGATTCAGATTCCTCCTACTTCAGCCTCAGCATGTGCCACCACGCACAGCTTTTATTTTTATTTGTTTAAATTGTAGTACTGGGAATTGACCCCAGGGCCTTCACACTGAGCTAGAACGCCAGCCATTTATTTATTTATTAACGAAAGTCTCACTTAAGTCCTTCAACTGCCCAGGCTGGGTTTGGACTTGTGTTCCTCCCGCCTACAGACTCCTGAGTGCCTACATTACAGGCCTGTGCCATCATGCCTGGCTATATCTTCTTAACTTCCATGTTCTGACTCACCTTCACCAGCATAGTTTTGACCAGTAAGGGACAGAGTCCAAGCCCTCAGTAGGACACGACTCACCCACCCCTTCAGTTACCCATTTATTCTGTACTCTGTTTCTGGCCTTCACATGTCAGGGCCTCTTAGGTTTCCGCAAGGCTGGACCAACCCGCCCTGCTTCCAGCCCGACCCCAGCCCCCACCGAGAGGAGGAGGAGGAGGAGAGCGCAGACCCGGCCCGCCCAGCTCAGTCCTGCAGCTTGCTGGAGAACACTTCCGCCCGGTTCAGGGGTGGCCCAAGGTTCACAGACGTGTAGGACGACTCCGAGGTCCCCAGGGACTTGGGGACAGCTTCCTGTGTGATCTGGGAGTCGTGGGTCATCTCCCCATCAGAGCTGCCCATGTCCCTGGACAAGGGGATGGCACAAGAGTCAGGATTAGGGAGCAGAGCAAACTCAAGCTCAGCCAGTCAGGGTGCTTTAACACGTAGACATTGTGTTCACAGATGTTGCCTCAAGCCTTTGTTCCACGCCCATTATTTCTGAAGCATTCCTCGGGAATGAGGAAAGTGCCACCCGCTGGGAACCATGTGAACCAGCAGTTTCCGGTCTCACTGTCCGCTGGACAATTAGAGCCCACTGTCCCCATATCCCGAGGCTGAATTAGGCCGGTTCTTGCTTTGTTAATTCAACAACAACAACAACAACAACAACGTGGGGGCGCCCTCTGCCGGTGGTTTGCGTGCATCGCAGCCTGTGACTGCTCGGGAACCCCCTCTCTCGGGGGTGGCCTCCAGTCCTAACCCACACAGGGGTGTCCTGGGTACTCACACGAAGCTGAGGACGATGGCGCTAGCGAAGCCCACTAGCAAGAAGAAGGGCAGAGAGCCCAGGATGGAGGTGATGACAATCATGCCCCCGCTGCGCCTGCCGGGCCACGTGTCGATGGCCGTATAGGGGGTGGCTGCGGAGGACCGGCCGGTTACTTCCCAGACAATGGACACCTCAGTCTCCTCGAAGGACAGGCAGGTGCCCCCCTGCCTGGATGCCCAGGGTCCAAAGGTGAACGGGGCAGGAAGGCAGTGACGGTCTCCTCCCACTTCCCAACTTCCTGGCCTCTCCTTCCTTCCATGATTTTCTGTTATAAACTGACTCAAGTCTAACAGTGAGCAGATGGGGCAGAAACTGTAACTAAAGCTGAGCAAGGGTGCTGAGCAAGAGGCCAGGCGGGCTGCAGTTCTCGCCCTCTTCTGGCTTCAGTCACCCTTTGGGGTCTACACATGGGTCCTCCCATGCTCTGGCCACTCTGGGCTTGTCCCAGCCAGGTTCCCAGAGACCCCCACTCTGAAGACCTCTCCTCAACTCCGGGAGTCTGAGCCCTCACAGACAACCAGGGATCCATGTGTGGCCCCAGGTGCACCTTGTCCCTGCAGCCTGGCGCTTGGGTCTGGCCCAAAAGTGCAGGGCCTGGGCTTCTGTCGGGATTCCCAGGTGAACCTCGGTTCTTCTCCCCAAGGAGACCTGGGTCCTGCAGGGTAGTGTGAGGGCTACCAGCTGGCTCAGTGGGACCTGGTGCAGGGATGTCCCCGAGGGGCCCAGGGAGAGTACACTGCTGGCCAGAAAGACGTGACCTTGACCTCAGCTGCTTCACGGGTCTCCCCAGCCTCAGCAAGCCCTCCCTCTTGTCCTGGCCCTCGAGAGCAGAAGGCAGGGAGGGCACATTGCAGGATAAACTGGTTTTTTGTTTTTTTGAGACAGGGACTCACTATGAAGTTCAGGCTGACCTTGAATTTCTGCCCATTCTCCTGCCTCAGCCTCCTAGGTGCTGGGATTACAGGCATGCACAGCCATGTCTGGCTTCAAGTTAAACTTTTAAGAGGCTGTTACTCCTCAGCCCCTTGGCTGGCTGGTATGCCTGGGAGATACCCCAAGCCTGGCCCTGGGGCATCACCCCTACTTACGCTGGTTAGTGTGGATGGGGCCCGACCACAGGCTCTCGTCCTGCACCAGGCCCGTGGACATGTTGACCAGGACATACTTGAACCTAGGAGACACAGCCAGAGTGATTTCCAGCATCCTGTATGTCCCAGCTGCAGGGAACCAGAGGGAGGGGCATTGCTGCAGAGGGGACTCCCAGGGGACAGCCACTGGGCAGGTGTAGGGCAACAGGAGGGGGCAGGACTTGGCCATCTGTCACCCCCACACCCTCCTGTCATAACTTGTGTCTAGATGTCCCCTAAAGCCTCATGGGCTCGTAGGTGGGGCTTTTCAAAGCTGGCTGGATCTAGGGCTTGTGATACTGGGATTAAGGGTGTGTGGTACTAAATTAGTCCACTGATTGGAATTAACATACTTCTGGGCGTGGATAATGGAAGCTCTACCCTGGGTGTGGGTGGCACCAATCAATGGGCTTTTAGCCCGGATGGAACATTAAGGGACAGGAAGAAGGCAGGTTGTTGCTGCCGCTTCCTGCCTGGCCTGCCATGGACTTTCCCCTCTGCCATGCTGTCCTGACTTGGAGCCAGCCGACTATGGACTGAAACCTCTGCAAAGTGTGAGCCAAAATAAACTTTTCCTCCTTTAACTTGTGGGTATTTTGTCTCAGCAACAAGAAAGTTACTAAGACACCTCCCAAGCTTCCTCTGGGAAGCCTTGGTGCCCCCTCTACAGGACACATGTTTACTTCGTGTTGCTCATGGGGCACACATTCTAGGCATATTCCACACCTCTTCTGGCAGCTCTGCCCTCCACTACTTCAAGCCCACTCCTTGGGATCACAAGGGAAACTGAAAAACAAACTGGGGTAATACTGATTGCTGACCCCACTGCCCTTGGGTCGGAGCTGCATTCCAGGCTCAGGAACCCCTAAGAAATGTTGCAAGAGTACAGATATCCACAGCCTACTTTGGGGCTCACACACAGTCAGTCAAACGCGATGGATGGTTTGTGGACTGTGATGTGTATAGCCTGTGGTTTTTAACACTTAAAAAAATGCATTCTGGGAGGCAGAGGCAAAAGGATTGCAAGTTTGAACCCAGCCTGACAATTTAGTAATTTAGTGAGACCCTGTCTCAAAATTAGGAAAAATAAACTTTTTTAAAAAAAAGATCTGAGAGGGGCTGGGGATGCAGCTCAGTGGCACCATGCCTGCCTGGCAAGCGTAAGGTTCAGCATCCAATCCCTGGTTATGCGGGGGGGGGGGCTCTGAGAAGCTGGGTGGCATACATCTGTGATCCCAGCACCTGGAGGCTGAGCCAGGAAGATCACCGAGAGTTCAAAGCCAGTCTGGGCTACACAGTGAGACACTGTCTCACAAAACCAAACCAAACCACAACAAAAAAATCTCTGCTCATCCAGAGTTTTGGTAGACCCCATGCCTCTGTTTCAAGGTGAGCATTCCTGGGTAGGACTGTGTGCCTGCCCTGTGCCCCTGAGGCAGGATGGGCTTGCACTGGCAGTCAGAGGGGACTGTGGAGGAGGGAGAGGTGTTCCCATCGGAAATACAGGTAAGAGGGATTGGGCTGGGGAAGAGGACCGAGGGAGGCAGAGGCAGGGTCCAAGTTCTCTGTGAGGATGGCAGGTGATCAGTGCTCTGGGTCCCAAACAGGCTCAGCAGCTTTGGAGACCCCAACCTATGTGTCTCCATGGTGACCGAAGTCGGCATATCCCGAGGTTTGACAACAGGTCAGAGCCCCAGCTCTGAGGGTGAAGACTGAGCTTGGAGGCAGGAGGGAGGTGTGGAGGGAAAGCAGCCCACCTGGCTCTAGCTCTTGGGGATGGGGGCTACATGGAAGGACAGGTGGTTGCTAGGCAACCTTACCTCTCTGGACTGCAGTTTGCTTCTCTCTGTCATGGGCCAAGACCTGTGCATAACTGGTGGGGCCTGGCACACAGTGAAAATGTGGCCCCTTGTTCCAAAATCCCCTTGTTCCAAAATGAAGAACTTTGGGAGACTGATCACAGAGCCAAGTGGGGCCTTCTGAGCCCTGGACTCTGCTCTGTGTGGGCCCAGGAAGCCAGCCCTGCCTGAGACCTGGGCGGTCCAAGCAGCCAAACTCTGGAGAATGTGGCTTCCTCCATTCTGTCCCCACCCCAATAGGCCTCCTCCTGTGGCTTCTCACACCCACCTGTATGCTGTGGCAGCTGACAGCGGGGGGTTGCAGAGGCCCCGGAAGTTGGGATCCCTCAGGCAGGTCCCATTGTCCCCCACCCTGACCAGGTACACATCCAGGATCTCTGCAGCCTGGTTCACATCCCCGACGGTGTCCAGGCTGGGCAAGTCACCACAAGGGGTCAGGTCAAAGGCGGCAGCTCTGTAGGGCCTCGTCCTCCCGCCCATGGTTTGCCAGAATGTGGATCTCAGGGGGCTCTTGTTGCTGTCCTGCACGGAAGTATTCCTGGAGCTGGCTGAAGAGGCAGAGCCGGGAGTGAGGATCCTGGCCATGGTAGCTCAGCACACTCACTCAGTCATTAATTGGCCTGAGCCTCTGATCTGCTGTAGCCGTGTGCTGGGCCCTCCCATTGCAGAAGGGGAGAAAGACGAGGAGCACCTCTCAGCTTTGGGTGCTGTATCCCACTCTCCCTATCTTATCTTATTGTTTTTTAATTTGTTTTTTGTTTTCTTTTCTTTTATAAGGCAGGAACTCGCTGTGCAGTTGAGGCTGGCCTAGAGTTTGCAGTGATCCTCCTGCCTCAGCCTCCTGAGTACTGGGATCACAGGCATGCTTCATCAAGCCCAGCTTCCCCACCTTATCTTGTAACACTCCTGCCATCCCCATCCCAGCAGACCTGTACACCTGTCACAACAGCCCCGGATTCTCTCTTCCATGAAATAAGAAAGAGGGTCCTGTGGGACAGCGCAGGACATGGAGGCAGATGACCCACATGGGATCCGCAGTCTCTTCCTCACTGCTGAGTGATCTTGGACAACTCTGCCTCTCTGGATCCCAGCCTGACTTCAGTGAAATGGTCCCAAAATACACCACGGTGCCCACAGACTGGGCACAGGTTGGCAGTCAGAAAATGTTTGCTGAGAGAATAAAATGATTGCCCGCATGAGCTATTGTAAATGACTGGCTTCTACAAATGACAGTGGCTGTCCCTGGGTCCCTTCCCTGGGAAAGCCAGGGCTTCTGCCCACGAAGGGCTGAGGGTCAGGCAGGTCCCAGCAGGTCCCAATGCTTGGCTTCGCCTCCCAACCCTGAGCCCTGGGGAGTCTCAGGAAGGACCTGGGCTAGGTGGGTACGCAGTGGTTGGTGCTGGGTGCCAGGGCCAGGTCTGTGCCTGCAGCCACCCTAGGCTGCCACAGCGGACACCAGTGCCTGTTGGAGAAGGGCATGGGTGAGTTTAGCGATGCGACTTTGGGGATGGAGTGCCCCTCTCTGCCTGCTTCCTCTTCTGGGGACAGGTCGGACCCCTTTCGGAGCAGCGGGAGGGAAGCAGGATCCTTACCCGAGTCTACCATGACGTAGAGGTAGACCTTGTAGGTACCGGTGAGTGGCTCTGTGCTGTCAAACATGCAGAGGGGCTTTTCCAGGGCCACGGTGGTGAGCGTGGGGTTGTTGGTGGCAAAGGTTATGCTGGCCAGCTGGGGCTGGAGGTCAACAGCTGGAGGAGGAACACAGACGGGCGCTGACCCGACAGACTGCCCACACTGTGGCACTCCCTACCCATTACCTGCCCTGTGCTGGGCACTGGGCTTCACCCTGCCGTGGGCCACCTCCTGAACTTGTCTCAGACACAGGGGGCACCCTTGGCCCCACACTGCTGGTCATCCTGGCCAGAAACCCTCTCCCTCTGCAAATTTTTCTTTTTTCCTTCTTCTTTGGTGATACTGGGAATTGAACCCAGGGTCTCAGATCTTGAACTTGCAATCCTCCTGCCTCAGCCTCCTACAGAGCTGGTATTACAGGCTTTGACCACCATGCCTGGCTTGCCCCTGCAGATATTCAGTCACCAAGAGCCCCACTGCCACTCCCCAGGGTATCTCTGCCCCATGGGCTCTTGTGCCCTCCACCCCTCCTTCTTCACCTGGACCCAAGTAACAGGCGCCTTCTACTCTGTACCATGCCAACCTGATCCTGTGCCCCCGACTAGGGCCCTTCTGTGCCCCTCCTGCCTTTCACTCAGACCTCCAACCTCACCCACCAACGCCCCACTCCATGCTCTGGCCGCAGGGTGCACAGCCTCTCTCCTGAACTCGCCCAGGCTGCCTCTTGGCTGGATCTGTCCTCTATCTCTCCCGGTCCAGCAGTCCCCGTGAGTCTGGTCCGGCCCCTTCTCTGCCCTCCCGCAGCCCCCTGTATCTTGGTCTCTCGTAACCCATCACAGGGCAGAAGCCACCCGTGAGACCTCGGATTCCACAGAGAAAGCTCATAATGTTGGCTGCTACTACGATATGAGTACCCAGCGCGGGGAATCCGTGCCCATTCCTGGACTGATTAAGTGACGTCCCGGTGCCGCTTCCTATCCAGGCTCCCCTCGGGCCTCCCCGGGAAGAGACAGGGCCAGGGTCGCGCCTCCTCCCATCTCCCATCCCCTGCTTACTCGAGCCACTCCGCAGGCAGCCAAGCGCCAGCAGTGTCCAGAGCGGAGGCATCGCCGGAGGCAGCAGTGGCTGGAATGCGGTTCAGCCTTGCGCTCGCCTGGCCTGTGTCTTCCTCACGCCCCGACCCCTCCCGCGCCCCGGCCAATCCGCGGCCTCGCCCAAAGGCTATTTGCATAAACCCCGCCCCGGCAAATTAACCAAAGCGTCCACTCTGCGCTTGGAAGAGGCGGTGCAGACCCCTGGGAGAGATGTCCCCCTTAATGGGACCTTGGGGGCGACCCGTCCCCTTTTGGAGCCCTGCAAAATAGGGACACTAATTCCTACTGCTAGGGAGCCCCTGCTGTATTCAAGACCCTGGAAAACTGCCAGCATGAAGAAATAAAGTGTTAGGTCTGTGAATTATCTGACGCTGCTAGTGTGACTTTTAGTTTCCAAGTGCAAGGCCAGGGGAGCCCTGAAGGGGCAGGGACTTGCAAGGCCACACATGGCCTCCTTGGTAACACCGGGGCCGCTGGAACCAGAGGCCCTGCTGCCCAGCCCAGGGCTGCTTCCAAAGGGATGGAAGAAGAGCTGGGTATGATGACATGCTCCTGTAATCCCAGAACTAGGGGAGGCTGAGGCAGAAGGATCACTGCAAGTTCCAGCCCAGCCCGGGCAGCTTAGTGACCTAGTGTGACCATGTCTCAAAGTATAAACTAAAAAAGGGCTCGGGAGGTAGGCCAGTGTGAAGGCCCTGGGTTGGATCCTCAGCCCCAGGGAGGTTAAGGAAAATGGATGGGAGAGGGCTGCTTCCGGAGGGGGAGTTTGGAGACAGTGACATGGTCCTCACTTGGAATTCCCACATCTCCTAAGACACCTTAAGTCAATTGTATGTTTAAGATATAAAAGTAAATCAGGGATGAGGGGAAACTGAAATGGAAAACCAGCAAGGATGAGTGGCCCGTGTACAACATGCACGACACAACACTAAAGAAAGGTGACCTTGGAACGGGTTCTCTGGCCCACTCCAGTGGGGAGAAAACTCCCAGGACAGAGGGGCCTGAACGAGGTCCCAGAGACTCACGGGAGCAAAGGGCGGGACCTAGAGGTTCTCACTACAGAATGGGGAGACGAAGGAGGGAGGGGAAGAGCTCGCTGGTGTTTGTTTGTTTTCACTTTTAATTGTGGCACTTACGATAAAAACCCAACTTTTTACCTCTGACCACGAAAAAGGCCTAGAGGCACCAGCACCCCAGGCCACCTGTGTACTTTCCTGTCTAAAACATGTAACCTGGGTGTCCTCACCAGGAAGCAATCAGATCCAAACTGAGCAGCTTTCTGAAAAGCAGCTAGCCCAGCTGCTTGGAAAATGTCCATGTTGAGAAAGACAAAGACAACACCCAAATGAAGCAAAGGGTGAGAACTGCTTATTGGAGAAGACTGAAACAGCTGTGGCCACTAAATGCACCAAGGGACTTTGATTAAGTCTCAGATAAAAATGAGCAACCTATAATGTACGCTATTAGGGTTAGTATGACAATGAGAGAAATTTGAACTGTGGAATGTGTGCTGGATAGCAATGGTGATTAGATGTTTAATTTGGGGAGCATGGTGGTTGTAGTACAGCTAGATAAAAGGGGGTGCCCTTGGGGCCACTTGGGCAAAGTGTCACTTTATGTATGGAGAAAGAGAAACAAGCCAGAATATGGTGGTGCACACCTGTAATCCCAGTACTCTGGGAGGCTGAGGCAGGAAGACTGGCAACTCAAGCCTAGCCTGGGCAATTTAAGGAGACCCTGTCTCAAAATTTTGAAAAGAGGACTGGGGATGTAGCTCAGTGGTAGACTGCTTGCCTAGCATTCGTGAGGTTCTGAAATTGATTCCCAGCACTGAAATTAAAAAATCAAAGCCTGAGGGGAGGGGTTCTATGCTCCGCCCCCCCTGGGCCTGAGCGTCCCCGCTGTGAAATGGGGGTGGGGTGGGCCCAGGATGTAGCTCAGTGGCACCGCACCTGCCTGGCAAGTGCAAGGTCCTGAGTTCACTGCCTGGTGTGTGGGGCTGAAGTGGGGCGTTTGGTCTCCTCTTCCACACAGAGGGTGGCTCAGGTGCTTCTTTGAGGCACACAGTGATAAGGGGCTCCTGCCAGGGGCGGCTCAGCAAGTGTTTAAGGAGTGACATTTCTTGTCCAGCCACCATTATGACCCTGGGCTTTATCGAGGCCACCAGCTTGATCGCAGGGGATGTTGGGTCACTCGCAAGTGGGACCAGGCTTGGGAACCAGGTGCTGCCCCAAGACACTGCCGTTTCTTATGAGAAAAACAGAAAGTCCTCTCATCTCTTGCTTTGTCCCAATATGGAGAGAAAGTTTGGGAGAAAATGTTAAAATAACAATCTGCAAGTGACCAAAAAATGTGCTCCAAAACAAAAACATCTCGAATTTTTAAACAAATCTCCACTTCAAAGCTTACTGACTTTTTAGCATATTCTGAAGAGGAGAGAAGTTTGGGAAAGGGCACATTCGCTTAGAGTGTGGGATCAGTGGAGGGGAAACTGGGGGCCAGGAGAGGACCTCTAAACCTGGGCCTGGTGGTGCACCCCTGTAATCCCAGCCCTCTGGGAGGCTGAGGCAGGAGGAGGGCAAGTTCCAGCCCAGATCAGTGGTGAGTGCTTGACTAACAGGCACGAGGCCCTGGGAGCTGGCCTCGTCACACACATAAAGAACGCGCGTAACTGCAGCCCAGGGCTCTATGTGAACACTGCAAAATGTTTTTAGGGGAAATTTTTTTTTAAATTTTTCCTTTTTCATTAGGCAACTTTCAAAGCACAGAGCTTCAGTCTGACTTTAGATCCGTTTATGGAGCCAGGTCTGTGGCCAGACTGACCCTAGCCCAGAGCACTCTGAGAAAGCAGGCAGTTCATGCAGTGGGAGGTTAATCACAGCCCAGCCCTCTGCAGGCCTCCTCGGAGTGTGAAACGGAGTCTGTGGGATGGAAATTCTTGACCTTGAAATGTTTCTCCAGGCGCCAGAGGGGCCTGAGCCTGTGACTTTCCGTGAGGCCTCTTTGGGGAAGTAGAACCCTCTGGCAGTAAGCACTTCCTCCATCCTCTCTCCTGGCTGTCCCAAGCCTCTGAGATTCATTACTTTTTGTCTTTTGTTCATTTTCTGATTCCTCACTTTCAAAAGACAGGATAGGAAAGCCAGGTGTAGTGGTGCATGCCTGGACTCAGGAGGCTGAGGCAGGAGGATTGCAGTGAGTTCAAGGCCAGCCTGAGCTACATAGCAACATATTGTCTCAAAACAAACAAACAAAATCAATCAATTGATTGATCGGAAACAAAATAAAACCCAAGTGAAGAAACTCAAGTCCCCAGCCCTGGATGCCCACCCCCACCCTGTGACTTCGATGCCCACACACGGCTCTCAGCAGCCACCGCCTCTCCTCCAAGCCCCAGACCATGTTTCCAGCCACTGCCTCGCAGAACACATTATCCTGGGTGACTCTCAGTCCTAGGGACTAGAAGGCCAAGGCCGAGTGTGGACAGATGGGGCTGGTGTCTCCTGAGCGGCTCCTGGGCTGCAGATGCTGCCTTCACATGGTCCTGCCTCTGTGGGTCTGTGTCCTCATCCCTCCTCCTGCTCTTCCTCCTTCTTCCACTTCTTCTTTTTCTTCTCCTCTTCCTTCTTTTTTTAGGCTGGCCTTGAACTCACTGTGATCCTCTTGTCTCAGCCTCCCAAATGCTGGGATTACAGGCATGCACCACCACACCCAGAAACCTGACCTTAGCAGAAACATATTCAAAGGTTCCAAAACATCTAAGATTACTCTATCTTTTTTTTTTTTTTTTTTTAAAACAAACCTAATTCAGTAGACTGGGCCTGTGCATCTCTCTGGTGCATTGGGCTACCCTTTCACCTGTGAAATGAGTTGTTATCTTTGTCCTCATGGTTGGCCATCACTGCTTCTCTGTAAACCAAGCCCAAACTGTCTAGAGAGGCCCAAGCCTGCAGATTTCCACTGCCACAGCCACAAGCCTCCCCAGCTCCACACCGGCCTGGGCTCGGCTTCTTCGAGTGTGTACTTTACATTCTGCCCAGTCAATCCCCATGTGCCTCTTACAGACCACCCCCAAAATCCTTTTTCTGCCACAGAAGCCAGCGAGCCTGCAGCCTGGGTCCCAGTCTCCGCTTTGGGAAGCTCCTTGCTCCCTGACCAGAGACAGCTTCCCTTCGGGGACCCTGGCTGTCCTAAGGATAGAGCCACTGTTTTCCCTACCCCCTCAACCTCTTCCGACCCCCCACCTCTGGCTCTCTGTGCTCTCTCCTCACCCTGTCACTTGTCACGGCCACACGAACACTGTCCCTGAGCTCACCAGGCTCCCTTGCCCTTGGGTGGCTTCCAGGATTAGGGCTTCTGAGGTGCTTCCAACTTTGATAGCAGCGGCCCCAGCCACCCCTCCCTGAAGCCCTTCCGCACCTGCTGTGCCCACTGTCCCAGGTGCCAGCTCCGGGCTTCTCCAGGGGAGCCCTGCTCCTGCCAGGCCCAGCCAGATCCCTCTTCCTCCAGGAAGTCTGCCTTCCTTGGCTCCGAGTGCACAGCTGTGTAGCTGGCAACATGGTGGCCATGCGTCCTCTTCCCGAGCCCAGGACAGGAGCCCACCAAGGGCAGGGATAGGTTCTCCTCTGTCAAAACGACTCCTGACCCAGCACAGGCACAGCAGTGTTTGATGAATAAATGAATGAATGAACACACTTTAAAATTAAGCAGAAGCTGGGCATGGTGGTGCATGTGTGTAATCCCAGCACTCCGGAGGCTGAGGCAGGAGGATCAAGAGTTCAAGGCCAACCTGGGTAACATAGATCCTGCCTCAAAAAATGAAACAATAAAAAATAAAGAAAGAGGGCTGGGGATTTAGCTCAGTGGTTTCACTGCTTGCTGCGCAAGGGCAAGGACCCGAGTTCGATCCCCAGTACCAAAATAAATAAAGAAAAAGAAAAAGAAAGAAAGAAAGAAATCCAATTGAACAGAGGAGGCTCTTTCAAGGTGTCAGGTGCCCTGGGGACAGGTCTGCCCTCAGGTAGGGGCAGGAGTGTTCACACTGTGGAGGCTTTGGATGCTGACGGTTGGGCCAACGGGTCTTGACAGGGTTGGATGTAGGGCTCAAGCAAGGGACTCAAGGAAGGCTGGACTTGGGGAACTGGGACAGAGATGGGTACAGAGGGAGGAGGACCCAGACCTGCAGGTCCCCTTCCCCTTCGTACATGGAGGGACGGAGCAGCTGGAGCGGAGGTCAGATTTCAGTTTTTCCTGCTTGCCAGCATCTGCCCCAGACTGGCTGTGGGAGAAAGGCCCTGACCATGGCCTCTCTCACCCAAGGACACCAGGGGGTTGGGCAGGGTGACGGCCCACTTACAGCCTGATTTGAGCCAGTGTTTCACACACAGGGGCCTGAGGACAATCAGATCCCCCCCCAGGGCACCTGGGACGCTGTCCAGTCTAGGCCAAAGGGCGTGGGGTGAGGGGGCCCCGCTCGGCCTCCCGTCTGTAGGCACTGAAACTGGTTTGTCCAGCCAGGAATGAAGCCGGGTGAGATGTTCATTCCTGTTTATCTGGGAGCCTGGAAGCCTGTGGCCCTGTAGGCTCCCCAGCCCCATGTCTCCCTTCCCCCCTTGCCGCCAGGGCCCCTCACCCAGGGACAGTGAGTCAGAGCTGACCTGACACAGTTGAGTGGGCCAATAATAGTCCAGGTTCTTGTGTCTGACAAGGAGAGCATTGCCAAGTATGCACCTCGGAGTATGCAGTGGGCAGCTGTGTTTACTGAAGATCGTGGGACGGGTGCCTCAGGAACAGGCAGAAGGGAGCAAGGAACAAAGGGCCTCCAGTGCAAAAAAGGAAAAGGGGGAAAATGGCAAAGGGAAAAGGGGCCCTCAGTAACTCCGGTGTCCAGCATTGGCAGGTCAGACATATCATAGAGTCCACTTGTCCAAACAGGCTTTTGAAAGAAAACTTTATTCCAGTTAACAGGGACTAAAATCAGGAGATTCTAGCAGCTAGCTGGGAAGAGCCGATTTTATTACATCCGTGTGTGGATGGGCTGATACTGGGTGAAGGACCCTAGTTAGCCAGACAGACTCCACATTGCTGCTTGACCCACCTGCCTGCCCTTTAGATGAACTCAGAAGGAGGAAGCTTAGAAACCTCCTCCCCTTAGAAAGTCTCTTTAGAAATAACACTTAATCAACTATTGTTTTACAAATGTTCTAACAGCAGGACGTTCTGCTTCTGTACCTGTTGCTTGCTTTACCAGTTCTATCCCATAGGGGGGCCTAGGAACTGCTGGCCTCAAAGGTGTACAAAACATGTTTGTCAAACCCCAGTCGGGGCTCGAGTCCGGGTAATAAACTCCTGTGTGGCTTTAATATCGGTCTCTGGTTGGTTCTCTCTCACTGGGTGTAACACTGGGGAGCGAAATAACAGCAGCTAGTGGGAGAGATTTCATCGTGGGTTGACGCGCTAACACCAGGAGGGGGGAGAGGGAGGGAGGGGAGAGAGAGGAGAGAGAGATCAGCAGCTGACTGGGGAAGGTTTAAGCTCATAAAGGTATTGACGGGGCTAAGGAATCTGGGGTGAAATGTTTATGACTCAAATGCCCAAGGACGTCTGCTCGGTTGTGTAGACAATTGCTGGACTTTTTGGGGTCAGAGGGGTTGTACAGTTTGTTTTGAGTTCATTTGTCATGTTTACAGAGAAGCTGCTGTTGGTTGCTTGAACGCAGCCTGTTTGCTTTGTCCTGTTGGTTTAGGCCAGGCCTGACAAGACACCTCCAACCTGAGATGCCCCGCCATCTCACTGCTGTCAGTGATCTCCACAGCCTCCTACGCTTCTGCCTGGACAATCCTTAGTGCGCTGTGGCCTCTACAGTGGAACAAGCGAAGGGAGTGACTCAGCTCCTTGGTTTCTAACTGTGGTCTGGGTGAGAGGGGACACTCCGTGGCCTCTGAGCACACACCCCTTTATCCCTGCAGCAACTCGAGGTCCCTCTGTGCAGAAAAATGGCCAGGCTGTGGTACCCTGAGAGCATCGGGGGTCCCTGAGTTGCCGTGGATGAGAGGAGGGGCCCCGGCCCTGGCAGTGGTGGCTCGGGCAGCGCAGGGACCAGGCTTTGTGCCCCTCATCTGCACAGGCGGTGGCTTGAATATCAAACCTCCATGCATTTCCTCTCTGGCTTCTTGGTGCTGACTCCAGGCAGCAATGACCACGGCTCAGAGAAGTAGGGGGCCCAGGGCCAGACTACAAAGAGGGGGCTCCCCTAATCGGGCATGACCTTCCCAGAGGATGGAGAAACAGAGTCCCCCCCGAGTGACCTGGAGGCCGGGAAGACCAGCCCGCCCTGAGTGAGGCATCTCCACTCTTGGGGACACAGGGCCACTTTCAGCTGGGGGGGGTGGTGCACACCTGTGATCCTAGCACTCTAAGAGGCTGAGGCAGAAGGATTACCACAAATTCAAGGTCAGCTGGGGTACATAGGGAGTTCAAGGCCAGCCGGGGCTGCATAGTGAGACCCTGTCTAAATAACAACAACAACAAGAACAAGGTCTGTAACCAGGAGTCATTTACACTGTGCACTGCGAGTCTCAGGAACTCCGGTGCAGGGGGCCCCCTGGTGGCATCCTGCAGCAGTGTGGTGGGAAGGGACTCCAGGTCAGGTCACTCAATTTCTGTTAGAATCAAAGGAAAAAGAATAAGCTTTCATGGGCCAGGGATTTAGCTCAGTGGTTCTGGTGCCTGCCTCGCAAGCACAAGGTTCCGAGTTCGATCCCCTGCACACACACAAAAAAAGAATAAGCTTTCAGGGAAAGAGAAACTGTCTAATGTCTAATTTTAATAAATTTGTCTTTATATCAACACAGCTGTAAATTAGTTGTAATTTGACTTAATTTGTTATTATAGCTGGGTGTGGCGGCCTATACTTGTAATCCCATCTTTCGAGAAGCTGAAGCAGGAAGGTCACCTCAAATTTGAGGCCAGCCTGGGCTACATAGTGAGTTCAAGGCCAGCCTGGAATACATAGTGAGACCCTGTCATAAAAAAACAACACAAAATTGTTGTTATTTCTTTTATAATGGAGGAAGGGTCCCCTCAAGGCTAAAGTGCTCAGGGCCCCACGATGTCACACTGGAGAGGGTTCAAGCCTCAAGGAAGCTCTCAGTCATGAGGATGAGATCTTTCAAAAGCCTGTCCTTAGCAGCTTGAAGGGGCCAGGCAGAAGGACAGTATACGGTGCTTGAAAAGCATAAGCCCCTTCCTATGTGATCTGGGGAAACTGAGGTCAGGCAAGAGGGAGGGGTGTGTCTGAAGCCACAGAAGTCACTTTTGTAAATACCTAACTGTAACAGATGCTGGGTAAGCCCAGGGCTTCCTGCCTCCCAGGCGGAGGGTAGGGGAGGAAGATCATTAGGATCCCGAAGTACATCCTCCCTCTCTCCTCTCAGTGCTGGGGTTGAACCCAGAGCCTCCACCCTGAGCCATAGCCCCAGCCCTTGTGTGTGTGTGTGTGTGTGTGTGTGTGTGTGGGCGCGCGGTGTATGTTTTAAATTTTGAGACAGGGTCTCACTAAATCGCTGAATTCCCCAGATTGGGCTCAAACTTGCAGTCCTCCTGCCTCAGCCTCTCAGAATGCTACGATTACAGGTGTGCCCAGCCGTGTCGGCTCTCCTTGTCTTTATTTGGTCTGGCTTCTCTTCCTCAGTCAAGTTATCCTGAGGTGCATCCATTTCGAGACATGATGTCTGCAGTCTCTCCTGGTCGCAGCGCGGTCTGCACCGTAAGGCTTTGCAGGGTGTTGGTCCTGGCCCTGCGGACGGCCCTGCCTCCCTTGGGCTCCTGCTCACCCGCTGCTGAATGCTGCTGCTCTGGTCTGTGTAGATGCAGGCTCTCATTGCCCTGGGGAAGTGTGCAGGGGAGAAAGGCTGGGTCACAGGGCAGGCCTGGTGGAGTCCCCCGTTCCGGTGGGGGTGTAGCAACATCTCAGGGTGATGCCCCCTTCTCTATCAGAGAGTGGGAACCCCTTCTAACATCTGCCATTTCTGTGTGGTGCAGCGTTTATTCAAATATTTTCCCCATTAAACATAATTGTTTTTCTTCATTTTTCCTGCAGGGCTGAGCATTAAACCCAGAGCCTTCAGCGTGCTGGGCAAGTACAGCCACACCCCAGCCTGACAGCTATTGTCTTTTAATTTTTCTATTTTTGTTTGTTTGTTTGTTTGTTTTGAGTCAGGATCTCATTATGTAGCCCAAGTTGGCCTCAAACTCAGCCTCCCGAGTGTGAGTGTGGGTGTTACAGGTGAAAAGCTCTTTTAAAAAAATTAATTAATTGGGGCCAGGTCTTTAGCTCAGTGGTGCCACCACCTGCCATGAGGTCCCGAGTGTGATCCCGGGTACCAAAAAAAAAAAAAAATTATTAATTGATTTCCTTTTTTGAGACAATGTCTCACTATGTAGCCCAGGCTGGCCTGAACTCTCATCGATCCTCCTGCTTCAGCCTCCCGAGCGCTGGGATTATATACATGCACCACCGTGCCCCAGAGTTTTTTTTAATTTTTATTTTTTTTGGTACTGGGGAATCAAACTCGGGACCTTGGGCTTGCAAGGCAGGAGACAGAACCACTGAGCTAAATCCCTGGCCCAGGAGGTTTGTTTTTTTTTTTTTTTTTTTATGTTTTAGGTCATATATTTTCTCTCTCTCTTTTTATTTATTTATTTATTTTTTGGTGGTACCGAGGATTGAACTCAGAACCTTGTGCTTGCCGGCCCTAGATCGTATATTTTCAATGGGGCAATAGTGCCCCTAAAGTGATAAAAGAACATGGAAACTTGTATTCTTTTGATGTAAAAAGTACAGTATACACGTGGTACAGATATTCAAAGTATTCAGTTTTCTTCAGATAATTCAGAAAGAACACCTAACAGGGATCCTCCTCGGAGAAGGAGGGGGTAAAAGGCAGAGAAACTGCTCTAGACCCTTGTTGGATATGTTTTGCAGAGCAAAAAATTTAAATTTGGATAATGTCCAAATTACGAATTTTTCCTGTCCAATTTCTGCTTCTGTGTGCTATTTTAGAAACTTTCCTCTTACTCAGGTCACTATGAGCTTCTATGTTTTCTGCTCGAAGTTTCATACTTTTAACTCTTCTGTTTAGGTCTCAGATTCATTTTATAGATGCCCTACATTAATTTCTGAATGTAGCAGGAACTTCATCTTTTCTGCACGTGGACCATCAGTTGATCCAAAATTCATTTGCTGAAATTCGTTTCTTATCCACTTGTCACTTTCATAAAATCAACTAACCATAAACCCAGCATGGTGGTACACATCTGTAATTCCAGCACTCAGGAGGCTGAGACAGGAGGATCACCGTGAGTTTGAGGTCAGCCTGGACTACATATTAAGATCATATCTCAAAAAAAATGAAACAAAGTAAAACAAGAAAATCAGCTAACCATGTATATGTGGATCGTGTGTGTGTGTGTGTGTGTGTGTGTGCGCGCGCGTGTGTAGGTCACTAGGGATTGAGCTACATTCTCAGCTCCCATTTTTAAACATTATTTTACCTTGAGATAGGGTCTTGCTAAGTTGGAACTTGGATCCTCCTGCCTCAGCTTCCGGAACCGGGGAGATTAGAGGCATTTGCCACCGTGGCTGCTGTATTCGACTCCTTATCATTATTTTGGCACATGCTCCTTCCTATTAAAAAGGAGAGTTGACCGTGAAGTGTGCCGTGTATGCGGCCTGTAGCCTCATCCAGCCTGTGGTCCCTGTGTCCCTCGATGGCACCCAGGGGCCCTGCAGAGTGACTGTCCCACACCTGCCAGGTCCTGTCAGTTCTCTAGCCTCTAGCCCTGTGGCCACTCACGCCCTGTGCGGCTGCTATCAAAGCCATCCCTCATGTGGCCGGCAGGTGGCAGCCTCCCTGTGGCCCCTCCCAGCACCATGCCACCTGGCACTGCTACTGCAGCCTCCAGTCCCCTCCCACACTTGCCGCCCTGCCCTCCAGGCTTGGGCTGTGAGACCGACTTTGGCTCCCACTTCCTCCTCTGACAGCTGAGACGCAGGTGAGTCCTGGGAGCCGTGTGGGCTGGTTCCGGCAGCTCAGTTCTGCAGGATCCTCGGGGCGGCCTCCTCGGCTGTCTTCAGGAAGATACGTAAAGTGCCACCTCCTCAGCAGCCTTCTTCCTGCTCTCCAGTGAGAGAAGCTGTGCACGCACCTGCCTTGGCCGATCTCCACCCGTGCACCTGTACACTGGCCTCAAGGAGAGCAGAGTGTGCAAGGACCGAGCATCGTGTGGGAGACACCAGGTGCTTCCGGCCTGGCCTCACAGACCCTGCATACCCGGCAGGTGGCACCACGGCCTCGCCTTGCAGAGCAGAGCTGAGGCTCTGAGTGGCCGAGCAGCCTTGCTCTTCCATTTCCTCATACTTGTCAGGAAGGAAGAGGGCCCTGGCAATGTCCACTGCTTCTTGTTCTCATGGGGAAACTGAGGCCCAGCATGGGGGCAGGGCTGCCAGTTCCTAAGCGCATCAGGCCTGAACCTTTCTCTGCAGTCACTTTTCTCTTTTGTTCCTGGTGTTGCCTCCCCTTTGCCTTTCTTCCCTCTACCCTAGACCTAGGAGACAGATTCTGGGGCATCTGTAGTCCAGGCTGAACTTAAATTCTCAGAGATCCTCCTGCCTCGGACTCTGCATCACCATGTGCACCCTTGTTTGGCTTTGCTTTTTTGGTACCAGGGATTGAACTCGGGACCTTGTGCTTGCACTTGCAGGGCAGGTGGTGGAACCACTGGGCTAAATCCCCAGCCAGTTGTCTGGCTTCTTGAAGAGACAGTGCTCTGTGTTACTCCTTTCTGTTTCAGCCCTGGCCTGTAGCAGCCAGGAAGCCAGGTATCCTTTCAGACCCCAGCTGGACCTGGGGATCCCTACAGGTAGCGCCCGGCATATAGCACTGCTGCAGCTGGCCCTGTCCCTCTAGGGCCATCCCACTGTCATCAACTTCCCTGTGGCCACCAGGGGTTACAGTCCAGGTACAAGGATGCAGTCCCCACCCATGACCCGATCACACATGGTCCACTGACTCAGGTTGTGCTTAGGGGGCACCACTGTGTGCCAGCTCTGGGTGTGGGGTGGGCACAGGGGCCGGCAAATATGGGATTCTCCACTGAGGGCTCCAGGTTGGGAAAGTCTATTTGGCGAGCCACAGGCCCAGTGGATCGGTGCTGATGGAGGTGGGTGCTCCAAATGATTATCCATTCCAAGCTTCTGGTCTCACGAGACCCCAAGCCATGAATTCAAGATCAGTCTGGGCTACATAGTGAGTTCAAGTTCAGCCTGGACTACATAGCGAGACCCTGTCTCAAAAAGCCAAAAAAGAAAAAAAAAACATTTCCCCAATTCCATCAGGCACTTCTTTCTAAATCCCTGAATCCTTTCTTTTCACCAAGGTGTCAGTGTCTAATAATAATTTTAAGGTGGCCCGGGGATTTATTTCAGTGGTTCCGCTGCCTGCCCTGCAAGTGCAAGGACCTGAGTTGGATCCCCAGTACCAAAAAAACAAACAAAAACAAAGACAAAAAAAAAAAAAAAAGGAAGAATAATTTTAAGGTTATCTCCTCCAGGGGAATGTTAACAGGGAAAAAAATTATCAAAAAATTATCAAAAGTTACCAAAAAAGTAGAGAGCTGATGGAATTCTGACAACAGCTGAGGACGAGGAACTATTGTTTTTGTTTTGAGGGGATTGGTGAAGAGGCTGGTAGAAGGGAGAGGCATGGGAACCTGAACAGCTCCCCAGCTTTGGAGCAGGAAAGAAAAACCCGGCTCAGGAGGCTCTTGCTGTCTAGACCTAGGGGGGCAGGATTTACCTTTCCAGATGAACAAGGCTGAGGAACAGGGATCCCGAGCACAAGAGAAGCATGAGTCAAAGGGAAAAGTCTAGGCAGGAAGTGCTGACACCCACGCATGTGACCCAGCAAGGATCTGAGCTGATCTTCTGGGCCCTGGCACTGCTCTCCGAGCAGGCGCTCAGGGCCCAAGGCGGCTGTCAGTGCCTGACTCATCCCGATTGAATCAAAGATCCAGGAGGAAGATGAACGCTGAGGCCCAATCACAGACATGCAGAACGTTAAGGCCAGGGGTGGTCTCGGAGGTCATCTCGTCCTGCATCCCATAATATAGGCAAGAAACGGAGGCCTGGAGGGGACAAGTGAGGTGTGATGGTTTAGACCTAGAATGTTCTCTCAAATCTGTCCACAGCCCGGACAATATCTAGGCTGGTCTTGAACTCACAATCCTCCTGCCTCAGCCGCCCAACTTCTGCAGTCACAGGCATGTACACACACATGGCTGGGCATTTGTTCTTAACACTGATTTGCTCTTTGAATATAATTAGCCCCAAACATTTAGAGATAAGAAGGTGAACAGTCAACACCGTCATCACAATAGCATATGATACTGGCAGCCTGGCAAGTCCCAGGCAGGAACGCCTGAGCAGGAAGCAACTGAACCATTAAAGCAATTGGCTCGCAGTTGATTCTTCTTCCTGCTAAACTTGGCTTTGTTCTAGTGCTGTTGGAAAAGTCAACTTCAGGGAAAGAAGGGGAGGAGTGGAGAGCTGACACAGTCCCTTCACTGGGGGCTCCCCATTGTACTGGCATCATGGCTACTGCAAATAAACACAAGGTTAGTCTTTAAAACGCTTAGATCACCTTCTAGTGCTGCTGGGTCAGAGACCAACGGTGGGCCCACTAGTGAGCTGGAATCCAGTTGCAGGCAGGGGTGTGCTCCTTTCGGGGGGTCTGTGGGAGACTTTTGCAGACTCTGAAGGCTGTCCTCATTCCTTGGCTGGTGGCCCCTTCCTCCGTTTTCTTTTTTCTTTTTTCTTTTTTTTTTTTGGTACCGGGGATCAAACTCGGGTCCTTGCGCTTGTGCAGCAGGTGGCGAAACCACTGAGCTAAATCCCCGGCCCCCTCCACTTTCTTTTTGTGGTACTGAGAATTAAACTTAGGGTCTTCACACTGAGTTACATCCATGCACTATGTATTTATTTTTGAGACGGGGTCTTTGTATATAGTTCAGGCTGGCCTTGAAATCACGATGTGGCCCAGGTTGGCCCTGAGCTCACAATGATCCTCCTGTCTCAGCCTCCCAAGTGCTGCGATAGTAAGATTGCATTGCCATACCCAGGTACACATATTTTTGGTACGCAGAATGGAACTCAGGGCCTTGTGCTTGCCAGCCAGTCACTGTGCCTGCTGAACTACATGTACGGCCCACGACCAGCTATTTTTAAAATTTGAGATAAAGTCTTGCTACATTGCCCAAGGTGGGCGCTGATTTGTGATCCTCTGGCCTCAGTCTTCCAAGGAGCTGGGATTACAGGGATGTGTCACCGAACCTAGCAGAACAATCAGTTTATAATTTTAGGTAAGACAATATAACACATTTTTATTTTATTGAAGAGTAAAACCAATTTAAAATTGCTAACTTTAGCCTCCCTTAATTCTTATTTAGATTTATCTGTTTATTTAGGGGCCCAGGGCCTTGTGCACACACTGTACCCTGAGCTACACCCCAAACCTTCTGTTTCTTTTTTTTTTTGGTACCGGGTATTGAACTCGGGTCCTTGTGCTTGTGAAGCAGGCGTCGAAACCACTGAGCTAAATCCCTGGACCCCCTCTGTTTCTTTAACAGCCTAAAGATAGTGCACTTCACATCTCTCTAGGAGAAGAACATTTTTATTCTGTAGGAAGCATGACTACATCAGAACTTTTTCAAGGATTTCAAATATTTATTTATTTTAGTACTAAGGATTTAACCCAGGGCCTTCTCACTAAGATACATCCCCAGTCCTTTAAAAACAGTTTTTGAGTGTGATAGTGCCTTGTAATCCCAGTACTCAGGAGGCTGAGGCAGGGGGATTGACATATTTGAGGCCAGCCTGGGCTACATAGTGGCCTGAATGAACTACTGTCATCCCCCCAAAAAATTTTTTTTAAATTTTGAGACAGTCTTGCTAAACTTCTAAATTGCCCAGGTTGGGCTCAAACTTTCAATCCTTCTGCCTCAGCCTCCCAGAGTTCTGGGATTACAGGTATGTGCACCATGCCTAGTTTATCCATTTTAATCTAATTCTATTTTGCATTCTGTTTGTTCTTTGAGACAGGGTCTCTCTCTGTAGTTCAAGTTGGCCTTGAACTTACTATGTAGTCCAGGCTGGTCTCGAACTCACAGAGAACCTCCTGCCTTGGCCTCCCAAGTGCTAAAATTATAGGTGTGTGCCACCACACTTGGCTCTATTTTGCATTCTGAATATTTGTCTGCAGAAAAGGGCATACATCTTTTGTGTGTGTGTGTGTGTGCTGGGGATTGAACTCAGGACCTTGTGCTTGCGAGGCAGGTGGCAGCACCACTGAGTTAAATCCCTGGCCCTAGGGCACACATCTTTGAGTTACAAAGTGATTAATTTTCATGAATTAAAATTCCCTGTGTGGACAATAATACCTGGAGTATTATGAGTATCTTTGACATAAAAAGGAGAGACCAAGTGATGCTCATTTATTCATTCACCAAATATCCTCTGGCCCTGTCCTGGGCTGGCTGCCAGGGAAAGTGGGGTGCACTGATTTGATGCTGGAAGCCAGATGTGTGGGATGAGACCGTGTTGTGCAGCAACACAGGCACACAGAGTTGGCTGAGCTTAGTGGTGGGGAGTGTCCTGGGGGAGGGGGCCAAGAAGGCCTTGCTGGTGTCAGGCCTCAGCGGTGGCATGAAGAGAGAGCTTGCTCTGGGGTCTCTTCCTCTTCTTTTTCGTTCTTTCTTTTCTTTTTCTTTCTTTTTGAGTCAGGGTCTCACTACGCAGTTCAGGCTGGCCTTGAACTCACAGTGATCCTCCTGCCTCAGCCTTCCAGCCTGGGACTACAGGCATGTGCTACCTCACCTGGCTTCTACCTATGCTTCTGCACAAATGCGTACCTGTCTTGACTGAATTCTTTGATCCAGGGCACAAAGAGCTGAGGCCTGAGGACTGAAGGGCTGGTTTCTCCCTGGGTCAGGACCTGGCTCATACATAGTTGTATGAGTTGGGGCCCAGGGTGAGGTTTCGGCAGCCTCTGGTTGCTGTGCCTCCTGGTCCCCCACTCTGCACACGGGGTGGGGGTCGGTCCCCGCAGGGCTCTGGCCTTAAACTGATCGCAGCCAGCTGACCTCACCCCGAGGCCACACTAGCTGTTAGGAAGGGTCCCCCACCGAGCAGGCCAGGAAACTGAGGCTCCACACCCTCAGGTGCCAGTGCAGAGGCGTACGGAGCGGGGGAGGGGGTCGGCCCGCAAGTCCTTTTGGGGGAGTGACCTGGATCTGGCCGGGTTCTGTGCAGCAAGATCCCAGGAACAGCCAGGCGAGGTTCCCGGAAGGCAGCGGCCGAGGTGGCTGTGGAGGAGGGCAGACCACCGCGTGCCGGGCGTGACTGTCCCGCAGGGGCCGGAGGCGCGTGCCCGGCGTGAGGGTGCTCAGGACCCTGGGGCGGGCCATGGAGAAGTGGAAGCCTTGGGAAGGGACAGGAAGGGCGGGGCCGGGGTGTGGAGGCGGTGTGGACGCGAGCTGGGAGGGAGGCGGTGGCGGGTCGCTCGGAGGTGGGCTGGGCATTGTGGGCAGGCCCTATTAGATGTG